ACACACACACACACACACACACACACACACACACACACACAGTTATCATACAAATTCAGTTTCAGACTTTTCTTGATATAAGAGTGGAGGCTTTTTAGCTCTGCTCATGATGTTTCCCTTTATCTTATGTTTAACTTGTCAGCTCTGATTCATGAGAACCTGCTCAGTGTTTATGAAGTTATAAAAATATCCTCAAGTGTGGATTATTCTCAGTTTACAGTAGATTCCAGCCTCCAGGGAACATTTGAGCCTTATTAAAATAACTCTCTACAAACAGACAAGCAGTCTGACACAGATCCAAACCACTTGTATCACAGCTTCCTATCCATCGTCTTTTTATCTTACGTTGGACGCCCGTGTCTCTGCTTCTCTGTGTGTCTCCAGAACCGGCCGACTCTCCACCAAAGAAACGAGGACCATCTGTAAGGGGTCCCGACTTCCTGTGCCCGAGAGCCTGCTCGGTGGTCTGCTCAGCAAGTAAGAGCCCTCTAATCACCCCGCAGTTCAGCAGAACAGTTCAAGGCTCGGCCGCATTTTCAGAATCGGTTTGAATGATTTGTTTTCACTTGATTGTAAATTATAGCCCAGTTCTTTGTCCAGAAATGATTCTTGGCTTGGTTGAAAAAGAAATCTTTGTAAAAGCATTTGGCCTGACTCGTACGTACCTGTCTCTAATTTGGACGCATGTTTTCTGGAGGTTTGCAGATGAAGATGAGATTGACTACCATGCGTTCGTTGCCGGCATCAACTGGTTAGAGAACCCTGCTCCCCCCGTGATGCCTGACGACACCTTGAAGGTAGGAGAGACAGTGATTCACACGCAGCAGCTTTTTTAGAGGAGAGTGACTCAGAAGAGTAAGTGAAGAGACTTCACTGTGTGTGTCCAGACTTTTAAATAGTTGTAATTGAAAATCAATCCACCCTCTACCCGTGATGACTCTGTATCATTGAGCCAAAAGCAGATTGAAATGAGTGGGGGAGGAATGGTGTAATAGACAAGAGCACAGTTTATAGTTGACAGGAAATGACTTGAGAGAAACACTGACTCAAACTTGTACTTTCATCTTGCAGAGGACACTTGTCCCTCTTTTCCTCCAAAACGAGGCTGTAGATGATGATATAGATTCTGAAGGTGAAGCCACTAAAAGAGCCAACTGACTCCTTTCCCATTTCCAGTAGAGGAGTTTACTTTCTTCTTTTCCCCGGTGCGTCGTGATCGACGTCTCAAACGCACCGTAAATTGTTGCATTCGTTGATGTCATGTTTCCATCACTGCTCATCAGAGCCACAGCAGATAGAACATGACTCTCAGAGGTGGAGAGGCCAGACAGAGAGTTCTTCTCTTTGTGAAGCTGAATTAAAATGTTTGACACAGTCGCATCTAAACAGAACCAGGTGAGAGGAAGAGCTGTACAACATGGCAACACACCAGAGACCGGCCTGTCTGAGTGTGTGTGTGTGTGTGTGTGTGTGTGTGTGTGTGTGTGTGTGTGTGTGTGTGTGCGTGCGTGCAGTGATTACTCAATTCTCAGTTTTCCTCTGACATGGATTCCAGCTGCTCTTTGTCTCCTCGGGTTCTAAACCCAAACTAGTCGCTTAGTCTCTGATCACTTCTCCAAGGTAACGCACGATCTTCCTGTCTTCCTGTCTTTCTTTCTTTCTGTCTTTCTGTCTGTCTTTCTGTCTTTCTTTCTGTCTGTCTTTCTGTCTGTCTTCCTGTCTTTCTTTTTTTCTTTCTGTCTTTCTTTCTGTCTTTCTTTCTGTCTTCCTGTCTTTCTTTCTGTCTTTCTTTCTGTCTTTCTGTCTTCCTGTCTGTCTTTCTGTCTGTCTTTCTGTCTTTCTCTCTGTCTGTCTTCCTGTCTTTCTTTCTGTCTTTCTGTCTTTTTTTCTGTCTGTCTGTCTGTCTGTCTTCCTGTCTTCCTGTCTGTCTGTCTTGGAACTGCTTCGTGCTTTAAATAAACAGCTGATTTACTTATATTTATTATATCATTAGTGTAAAAAATAATTGACTGAGTTTTTCTGTTTAAAGCCGATACTCAGTTTAGAGGAACAACAAATTTAAAATGATGAAGGGAACAAACAAAGCGACGACACTTCTCCACTTCCTCTCATTGTACAAAAAAGTAAACATTTCTTGGATCTTGTGCTTCTGACGTGAAGTGGAGTCAGTGCAGCAGCGACGTAGGAGCGTGAGAAAGGTCCAATCGATACACGTGACCAATCACGACTCAGTCTCATCCGTCAATCACAATGTCAACTAATTAAAACCAAACTGATGAAACTTGAACAAACATCAGTGAGATTAGAAATGAACAGTGAAACGACAGAAATCATCTTTGACAAACATTTGACATGAACTTCTCATTACATTGAGGAGGCGGGGTTTATGACCTATACTGCAGCCAGCCACCAGGGGGCGATCGAGGTGTCTTGGCTTCACTTTTGGGGAACTGTCATGTCGTCCATCTTTTTTTTAAAAGTCTACAAGTTAAACCAAAAAAGGAATCTAATCTAATGAATTGCGTTGTGACGTGACCTGTGTCTCTGTCTCCTCCAGTTTGACGTGAACACGAGGTCTGACAACAGTTGGTCTTCGGTGAAAAACATCAACTACTCTGCTCTGCTGGGAGAAATATTTCCCTCCAGCGTCGGTGACCCAGCAGCCGCCGCCTCAACATAGACCCAGAGACGCACACACTGCGCTATCTATGTACAAGATTTAAAGTTTCTTCTCCTGTGGGTGAATAATTTGGCAGTGAGTTCAAACATAACAAAATGTGTGATTTAGGGGGAAAGGTTTTGAGGTCACAGGCGCTTATATACTTAAAGAGACACACGGCATCGAAGCAGAACTGTTTCAGGTCAGCGTGCGCTCACACGCATCATGATGCATCCTCCACTACTGTTCTATGTTGACAAGGGGGGAAATGACCCCTGGAATGAACATGTGCCTCGTGTTGTCTGTGCACCGGCTAACAACGAGACATCGTCATCGAGGCTGTCCGCTCACAGCTGTGGGAGCCATAGATGGGCTGTGAACTGTGTCCAGGCCACAAAGACCTCATATCAGTGAATAGACTTATTTTATGTCCTTTTTGTTTTCTATTCTTACTCTTCAGCACCTGTCTGAGATACTCCGAGGATTACTGCAGCACCACCGGCTTACTGTGGACGATAGTTATGGGATTTATTCTCTTATATTAAACATACGGAGGGGACGATCAGGAGTGAACTCCTCAGAGGTTTAAACTACCACGAACAACAGCCTTCATGTGTGTGTGTGTGTGCGTGTGTGTGTGTGTGTGTGTGTGCGTGTGTGTGTGTGGCAGTGTTAAGACTATAAAAAGGCACAGGTTGTTCAGGTTGAGGCGCCACTGAAATCAGAGCCTGTGTCACAAATTCTAGTAGGGGGATAAGTCAAACATTAGGTAATCAACCACCCAATCCCCTCTCTGTTACCAGCACTCACACACTCACACACCTTCCTGCCTCTGCCCCTTCACACCGAGCACAGAAACAGTACAATACGTCAGCTCAGGCATTATCAGGTCCCGTCATCCACTTTCACACATACTAAAATATTAACTTCCCAGTCACCGACGACAGAAACACCAAAAAGGTGACGTCGATGTGGTCAGTGGTGGCCCGGGAGCTTCCTGAGCACATATTGTACAACGTGAGGAGGAGGAGGGAGGGACCTCAACTCCAGCCCCTCACAACCCCCCCTCGTCCTCAGCTGTCAATCTTTATCGTACCCACACATCCCATTTTCTGCCCTGTCATGCTCCGTGGCACAGCAACGGCAAAGTGAGTTGCATCATCGGTCTGGTCTGAAATCTGGCTGCAGCGTGTGTCCTACAGAGCGTCCTTCAGCATCAGACACAATCTTTATTCATTGTGTTAATTAAAGGAAGAGGCTGATATTCTTCTGTATTGTCAACAACTCCTACGAAGGGACCGAAACACTGCGTCTCCGTCATCTCTCAGTATTTTAATAACTTTCTGTCTGTGGCCTCTGGCACCAAACACAGTGTGTGACTCACCGATGTTTAACACAATCCATTTTGGACAGTGATGGACGTCTGTGGCACAGAGGAACAACATCAGGCTTCAGAATAAGATCAGACACTTGTTGTTTTTTGTGTTTTCATCCTTCAGAATAAATGTCCTCACTTATAAGAATCAGCGGCGTCCGTGTCGTTGAGTTGCTTGAACCATGTGTTGATGCTATTTTATTGATTTATAGATTTATTTAGATTTTACTGGATTTACTGAAGAACATTAGCATCTGTTTACAAGCTGTAGGAGAGGCCAGTGGCTACTAGCATCAAAACTGAACTTACCACTGAGTCAAACCTGAACCACCACGTTGACGAACACGTGAAGGGAACTTTGCACCAAACAAGGGATGAGTCACGCTCCCCGATGATGCCGTCTCTCAGCACGCCATGATTTGTCGACATGGTTCGAGCGACTGCTTTCTCTTGTCTCAGCAGCAGCAGAACATGGAGGCTCATCGTAAAGAATCTGCCTCTTGTTTTGTCCTCGCTCTGCTTTACTGCTGTTCTGCTCGGGACCACTGCACTGTAAAAACCGATATACAGGAAGGTCATAAATGTCTCTGGGGTTAAGAGGATCTTGGAGCGTGCACGAGCATGCACTCACGCACGTGGATGTGCGAGAGCTGCTTAATGCAAGTCTGATGGAGTCATAGCTAATCTGTGAAGTCTAAACAGATATCCGAGAACAAGAGGGGAAACGTTTCTGTTTACTGGCCGCATTCCATTCTTTTCTCATGACAACAAATCTTGAACCTGGAAGCGCACAGACACACACATCACAGAGCACCTGCGTTCACATGTTGTTTTCCTCAGAACTGTTCCCCCAGAGCAGCAGTTCTTGGCCCCACAGTTCACTCTGAACAAGCTGCTAGTAATTGATATCACGGCACAAGTCGCATGTTTTAATTTATTTGCTCCATCTGATTTGTAAACCCCCACATTTGGGAATGTTTCTGAAAGTGCTTGTTCGTTGTATTCCCACATTCATAACTGAAAGTTTTGATGTGTTAATGATCCATACCATAGACTGTAAATAAAGTGGACATGTCTCCACTTCCTCCCACTATACAGAAATGAAGCCAAGATATCCTGGATAGGATCGCTGCCATCTTGCTCCGATGACGTGATGTAGAGCCAGAATCGGTGCAGCAGAGATTTAGATATGGAGCTGAGGTATCAAGGTTTCACCGTTAAATGCCCTCGACCAATCACAAATCAGTCTCAGCTGTCAATCTTGGCCTTTCACCTATTTTTAGTGAAATAAAATAACTAATTAAAACCAAAGTTATCAGAAATAAGACCATGTACCGAGATGTTTTAGCTCCAGGTCCAAGTCCCATCTGCTAACACGGAGGAGGAGCAAGATGAAAGGTTTAGGGATCACCAAACTCATCGGGGGACATCTCATTGGAGACTGCAAATAAAGATGGACGACATGACAGCTCCCCAAAAGTGGAGCCAAAGTGCTTCAATAGCCGTGATTGACAGCTGAGACTGACTGACGACTGGTCGAGTATCAAAGAGACGTCCATTCACAGAGTCTGGCTCCAGATGACATCACCTGCGCTGGTATCTGGAATATCCCGTCTTCGTTTTGGTCGTTCCAATAGTTGTCACGACATTTCACTAAAAGCCAATAATGTCAGCGTCACGGTGCAGCTTGAGGAGGATCATGTGATCATGTGATTCTTCTGCAGGGAACCGTTAATGTTTGTACAGATTTACACGACAGTCCATCTGATGTCTGCTGAGATATTTTACAGGTAATATATTTTCCATTCGACATTTAAATGAGAAAACTAAGGACGCAGTCAGTGCAGACACACATTCTTGATTAGTCCTGTAATTGGCTGCTTATCAGAAAAGCCTCACTGAACACTGGAGCTCAGGACGGCCTCAGGACGGCTGGAGAGAAGACGGAGCGTTCTCTGTGCCTGAGCAGAGGCCCTCCCCTCTGTGACGGCGCTTCTATAGCAGTGAACAGAGTCCAGCAGCCTGTTTCTGGCTGCTCTCCCTCATTCCAGTGATTCCTCAGTGCCTATGGGCACTGGCACAGAGAGAGAGAGGGGTGGAGGGAGAGAGGGAGAGAGGGCGACGGCTTAGATCCCACTTTACAGGGTCATCCACTGCCCCGGGTGCACATGGGGAAACACTTAGCTGCTCCCTTGTTGTTCCACATCTCTATCTCTGAGTTTTTCACTTTCTCTCTTTTATCCCTCTCTGTCTCCACAAGCCGTCGTTCTAATGCAGTGTCATCTGTGCGTTCTAGTGCGGACGGGTGTTAAGATCATTAACTGCAAAGCGGTTTGAACTCGTTGTGTCCTCATCGCCATCTGAGAAGTGCAGCTTCTCTTTGATACCAGCATTTTATTCCTGTCCCAGACGTTCTCAGCGCTTGTAGCAGCTAACTCTGCTTCCCCCTGTACGCCAGAACCAGACCTGGTACTCTCATCACACAGAAGTTTTCTTTGGCAGCTGCAGCGACACCAATTTACCTGGTCAAGAAAAGAGAAAGTTATTCTACTCCAGCAGTAAATTATAACTGAGAGACTATTTTTGTTAGACGTTTGGTTCCCAACGGAGACTGTTTTTGAGGCAAACATGCCTGTTTTTCTTTCGCTCCCCGGTTCATGTACGTCCCTCAAAATTATTGCCCCTCTTCATTTTTTTCCAAGTAGCTTAAAATGAGGCAGTAAATGTCTGTGCAGCATCTCACATGAAGAGGCTTATAAAGGAGAGAACACAGACATTGTTTGAAAAATCAGTTTCCTAATGTTAGAACGCAAATTTCCGTTTCCCCTCGCCTGAATGTTCCCAACGTGTTCCTGGTGTTGTGAACGAGTCTGACCCGAACAATCTTCTTCTGCTGCTTCTTCTCAGCTAATCCATGATATCAACCTCCGTTCTCATTAAACACAGCGAAGACAAACATGGCTGCCGTCAGTCACTCAGGTGTGATGATCCGAGATGTGACCCTGCCCTCCTAATCCCGTCCTGATGAGGAGATACAACTCATGTCACATCAGGTCCAGTCACCGGACGGACTGCCTACAGCCAAGGTGGGACAGAGACAACTGACACATCAGTCTCTCAGTAATCACTGTCTTAATACGCTGATGTGAGGAGGCTGCGACCTGATGCCTTAATCACCAGTGTGAGCGGCCACAGGGTAAAAGGTCCAAACATCACAGAGACGCACTCGTATCCAGGCCGAAGAAACGTCCGCTCAACAGTGGAGGGAGTAAAGAATCGATCATAATCTTAAAAAGCAAATTACATGTCAACAGCTGTCACATAGAAACAATGTTATTTTCTTTTTATTGCTATCCAATTACCAGCTATCGCTACGGAAAGCAAAAGTCTTTTTACAAGTTGTCAGAGAGCTGCGTTTGCGGCGGTTTGTCATCTCAGTGTCTCCCCTCCTCTTGCTCCATATATCTTCTGTCTTCTGGGCTTCTCCTCCCACCCCACCCTCTCCTCTCCCCACATATGGGATTCGCATTTGGCTTGGCCGAACATTTTCTTAATGTGATATTATGATACATTATCTGAAGCCATTTACTCCCTGTCACCACCTCTCATGTCGACACAAGCTGAGTGGGCCGAGGAGAGGCGGTCAGATTCTGTCCAGGTGAGTTATGACCATTTAATTTGACACCGCTCGCAGGAGCGATCATTTACAGAGCCTGAAAGTGTAATGAAAACACCAACGCTGCTGATGTGGGTCTCTCTTTCTCTCTAGGAGCCTGTTGGTGGCGTATACGTTTTCACCCTCTCCTGCTGCTGGCTGTAAATCGCCTCTGTCGAAGGTGTGTGTGTGTGTGTGTGTGTGTGTGTGTGTGTGTGTGTTTGAGGCAACAGAAGGTGAGAAATTTGGGGGTCAGCCGAGGTCTTTCAGGTAATTGTGCTTCTTAAACTTTTGACCCACTAAGTCCTACTTAGTGTGGTGCAGCTTGCTTCCCTTATTTCCCCCGAGAGTTTTGACTCTGCATACCAGGGAGTGAGTTGTGTGTGTGTGTGTGTTGTGTTGTGTGTGTGTGTGTGTCTTACAATAAGTGTCTGAACATATGCTGTCAGCCACACACAGCTCATGTTATTCTTTTTCCCCCATTTTGGCGGGATTGTGCTTATTGTTTCTCCTCCACTGCTTGACCGCCCTTTTCTTTTTTCAGTCTCCTGTTCCCTTGTCCTTGATGTGTTTGAGAACTCTTTAATAAACCGTCTCGACCAAAACATTCCCCACATCAGACACACGCTCGTGTAATCTATGGCGATCTTCTGGCAGCGGTTGTGTGTAAAGCCTCAGTGAAGTTACGAGCGCTCTTGTCTCAAGTTATCGCCGACGCCTCCCTCCCTGTTCCCTCTCCATTCATCAGGGTTTCTGCATGGACAGCGTCAGGGTGTCAGTCAGTGTGCGTGTTGAGGTGGCTACAGTTTGGATCTGCTCTGTGCTGCTGATGTTTTCATCACGCAGGCACTGACAGCACCGTCATGTAACTGTTTACAGACGAAGACGAATCACCCAGAATGAAATATCCACCAGGTGACTCGTGCGAACAGCTGATCCTCTGGGTCCTGTGAAGTTTTAAATATCTGTGATTAATGCTTCGGCTTTTTCCTTAAATTGAAAAGAACCTGTGTGTTTTTGTTCTAATTTGGTTTCAGTTTCTTATGACTTCATATTTAACCTTGCCTGCAGGTGGAAGATCTCCCAGCATCGTGATCCAACTGTATGTTCAGCACGGATGTTCTCATCAGGAGAAGATACTTAGGTGAGTTGTTTAACTTCCCATTTAACCTCCTTGTCCTCCTCCACACTTCCTCCCCCTCAGCCCCCCCACATGCACACCCCCGCCCCTCGTTTCAAGGCTGGAGAAAGCGCGTGAAATGAGGGGCCACAGGGGCCAGTTGTTTTTAAATAAACTAAATCTGCTAACAGTTTTATAACCCTGACCTCGTAAAACTGGCTGCAGCTTTTGGTCAGCTCTCTCCTGATGGGGCGAGCGAAGCCGTCCAGGGCTGGAATTCCCATTTGCCGCTGTGGAGCGTGTCGATGTGTCAGCTGGTGTGTGTGAGAGAAGGAGAGGGAGAGGGAGAAAGGGCGTGTGATATACGATTGCTGTGTCACGATCCACATGTGACGAGCGTCCTCACAGACGGAGCATCCAGGCTGCTCCCTCTTTCTGGTGATTTCCCTGTAGAAGAAAAAGTGAGGCAGAAAGGAGAGAGAGAGAGCAAGAGGAGGTGAGAGAGACAGAGGGAGGAGAGAATAGCCTTCAGACAATCAGTGTGTGTGGGAGAGAGAGAGGTAGAAGCAGGGGGAGAGAGGAGCTGGCTGGCAACAATAGTTGAACAACAAATCAGTGTTGTGCAGGATCCAGCGTCTCTGTGGTCTGGACACCTCTGCTGTGTTTCTGCTGCCCGGTGCTGAAGGTAAGTCCACAAAGCTGGAGGTCAAACCTCAGCACCTCTGTCTTCCTTTTGTATCTACTGAATGTTTTTAAATTCATATTCCACCAAATCCTCGTCGTTCTCTCTGACAGCGCTGAGAAGACGCCGTGATTCTCTTGCAGATGTGAGATGATGTGACGCATCGTCATTGTACATGAAAGCTTTTTCACACAGAGTTGGATAAGCTCACCTTCACATACAGATAGATGCTGACTTCCTGTTTTAAATACTATTATATTCCAAATCCTGTCATTACTGTCTCTGAAGACTCGTGAGATGATGTGGCGCACGTTTGTTGTACATTCATCCATTTTCACTCAGCTGTACGTGCAGGATACACGGCCACAGAGTTCGACTTGAACTTCTCCTCACTTTTTCTCATCCTCCAGCTCAGGTGTGCATTCCTCTTTTATTGCAGGTATGTTCTGCTCCGCACGAGTCCAGAAACTGCAAGTGGTTGTGATTAGGACGCAGTGTGACATGATGTGTAATCGGAAGAAACATGTTTGTGTTGGCGCTGGTGGAAACACTAATCAGGCTCTGACAGCGAGGCTGGAAGGATAGTGGACCTTGTGGAGTGTGTGTGTGTCGGAGCGTGAGGTTAACAGCGGTGTGATATGTGTTTTACAGGTGCATGCGTTTATGTCCATAAGTGTATGATTGACTTGGCCCGTGGTGCTGGAGCGTGAGGCTGCTGGCTCATGCTGGAGGCAGATGATGACAGATATAATAGACGCTGTGGTAGGTAGGAGGAGGAGGAGACGAGCTACCACTTCCATCGAGCTGAGAGAGAGAGAGGAGAGCGTGTGAGAAAGAAAGAGGGAGAAGGTGTTTAACTGAAAAATGAAGTGACTACAAAGACTGCGGGATAATGAGAGTGGGAAGAGAGAGAGAGAAAGTAGGTGGGAGGAAAAACATCTGAGAGAGAGAGAGAGAGGAACAGGGAGGAGGGGATGCAGTGCCAGAGAGAGACACGATAAATAGAAGAAACAGAATGAAACTGAGATGTGTGAGAGAGAAAGAGAGCTGGAGGAGGTGAGAGTGACAGAGTCTGACACGAGGAGGAAGAGAAGGAGAGAGAGAGAGATTGAGACTGTGATGCAAACATCCCTCCAGACATCCCTCTCCACCTCCAGTGACACCAGATGAGAAACAGTTTGTATTGAGACGTCTGCATCCTCGCCTCGAACCACAGATCTCCTCAGAGCTGTTCAGAGAGGAGGAGGAGGAGGAGGAGGAGGAGGAGGTGTGTTTGAAACATCGCACATTCAGCCAGGTGCAGATAGACAGCAGCAGGAGGAGGTGGTTGGTTTTGTCTCATGTTTCATATTCTCACACAAACACACACACACACACACACACACAGGTCCATTGTGAGTGTATTTGTTTGGACAGCATTGACGCTCTGATAGACGCTTCACAGTGTCTCACCGCCGCAGGACTGAGCTTCTGACAAATGGACGCTCTGCACGAGGCACAGGCCCCGGAGAAGATCCTCAGCGCCGCTCTGTGTGCAACAGATCTCTGCTGCCCGGAGAAACCTGGTCCCACGCGATAAAACAAGCGCCTGTGACTCCTCTGCTCCCTCCTTCCCAGAGCGCCTCGGACTCGGAGCTGAATGGAGGGTTGATCTAGTTTCACGCACAGCTTCTTGCCTGGAGCTCGCTGCGTTCCTCGTGTTTCTCTCAACCTCTGTAATGATGAGGATGGAGAGAACACAGGAGGCAGACTCAGATTTGAGGTGTTTTTTTTAAAACCAACTTAAACAACTCGACCCCCCCCCCCCACAGAACATTAACTATACCCAGAAAGAAACAGAGATGTGAGAATATTCACACATTTATGTCCTCTGTGTCTTCTCTTTGTCTCTCCACTGTTTCTGAGAAGCCTAAATTGTAAAGCTAACACGAGCTTAGCTGCGGCTCAAATGGCTGCCCGTCATTGGCTGAACACTGCGCTCAAATCCACACTGTTTGTCTTATCTTTACTGGGGGGGATATATTTAGTGAGGAGCTTAGCTTTTAGGAGGCTGGCGTGTGGGGAGGGTAAGAGAGAGAGAGAGAGAGAGAGTGTGTGTGTGTGTGTGTTTGAGTGACAGAGTGAGAGGAAGCGCAAATTTGTGTGCGTGTGTTTCGGGAGCTGGCGTCAGTAGACAGTGAGAGAGCTTGGCACTCTGCATGCCAAACTGTGTGTGTGTGTGTGTGTGTGTGTGTGTGTGTGTGTGTGTGTGTGT